AAATGTTCAAACTCAACAGTTAATAATAATCTTAACATTTTGTCGCAGTGCCTTATCACATCAGACGAGCAGAAATAATAACATAACAATCCTTGTATTTGATAGAGCGAACTTATCACATTGTCGAGACATCGCAAAGTCCTTCACAGGATGTCCTGTAAAGTGTAGTGACTGTGTATTCTGTCAGCAGTAATGCAGCCGATTTGCGGCCAGCAATGTCACACAGTAAACCAGTCGGGGTTGAAGTGACCATTTTTTTTTCTTGAGAAATTATCAGGCGTTTGAGATATCTCAAAGCTTCACAGGATTTTTGTAATGACTGTGTTTTGTCGGTGAATACAGCAGCCAGTGTATGCACAGCAATGTCTCACAAACAGCCATGGTGTGAGTGACCAATGTTATCTGGTGGATTGTTAGCCAGGACGCTGCGAGAGAGAAATTTCCTTTTCTTTTCGAATAGTGCCATAGAATCTTCAACGTCCACCTGATCAGGCAGATGTGGGTTTAATGTCTCAAACGAAGGAGCACCTCTGCCCAAGCAGTGCCCTCCCCAGCACCCGGGGGCTGTCAGCCTGGACTGTCGGTTCAAAAGTCCCAACTTGGGGCTTGAACCCAGAACATTTTGACTTGGAGGCAAGAGTTGATAACGACTGAGCCAGGATAACATCTGCATAGAATCACAGAGTTTAGAATATGAGGGAGGCCATTCATCTGGCACACTCCCCCACTGGAGCTCTCTGCTCCCCCACTGGAGTCTCCCCACCCCCATGGAGTCCCCCTTTCCTCCATGGAGTCCTCCTCCTCCCCCGGAGTCCTTCCCCCACTCCACTAGAGTGCCCCCCCACTGAGTCCTCCCGAGTCTCTCTCCCCCCGTCCAGAGTCTTTTGCCTTCTCCACCTTCACAACGTGCATTATGATCTATCTTTAAAGGCGCTAAACAAATGTCACATTTGCTTTAATTAACATCTCATCCAAAGGACGTCACCTGCGAGTGACATTGCTACACCCCCCAGTACTGGGTTGGAGTGTCACCTTAGACGATGCGATTCCAAGTCCCGACAACCTTCTGCCTCAGAGGCGAGAGCGGTACCATTGAGCCAGGAAAGTGCCACATTAAAGATTATTAGCTAGACTTACAGTGCATGAAGTTGATGGCAATATTGTGTCACTGGAGGAAATTGATCATGAGAGAGGAGCAGAAAGTTGGTATAAAATGGATGTTCTCTGATTTGAGGCAGAAATAACTGGTATGTCCCAGAGATAATAATAATCTTTGCATTTGATACTGCGCCTTATCATGTCTTCGAGACGTCTCAAAGCGCTTCACAGAATATATTGTGAAGTGGATTGACTGTGTATTTTGTGGGTGAAACGCGGCAGCCAATTGCACACAGCAGCGTCCCACAAACAGGCGTGGATTGAGTGACCATATTATTATTTTTTCAAACGGATTATTATTCCTGGAAAAAGTGATCCGCCAATTAACTAACAACCAGGTTCCTAACTGCTGGGTAAACAGGCGTGTGGAGTCAGGAAACATGCCTAAGGTATCGCCCCGCTCTGGAATCAAACCCAGGTTCTCTCGCTTGCGACACTTTAAAAAGGCAGGTCCTTGATAACATTGGGTGGAACACAATATAAACACTGAGCCTGTGGTGTATTAAACCTCTGTATTGTGTGAGACCCCAACTTTTCACTCTGAGTCTGGGTACAGGAATAGAAGGGACCATTTTAAGTTTGTAGATGACCCTAAGCTAAGAGATGCTGTGGAGGGCAAGTGAAAAATTCAGAGTTCAAAAGACAGATTAAAGAAGTGGGCAGAACTATGGCAGGTACAGTTTAACACTACAGTGTGCAAGGTCATATACTTTGAACAGAAGAATAGCAGTTGGGAGTGTGTATTGATAAGGAATAGATGAACAGGGAAATCTACAACAACTTGGATTTATATAGTGCCCTTCATGCAGGATTGCCTGTGGGTGGAGGGCTGTGCCAGCTGAGCAAAGGGGATTGGCAGAGGAGAGGTAGAGGCAGAGGGAGCGGAGAGGTGGGGGAGAGGGAGAGGCAGGGTTAAAGGTAGAGGTAGGAGTGAGGGAGAGGGAGAGATAGGGTGGTGATGGGGAGTGAAGGCATTTGTATGTGAAGGTGACGATGTGAAATTGATCTGGGGGCTGAAGTCCGCAGATAATTGGAACCTGGTTTGCGGCTATGAAAAGAAATCAAACGTACAAATGGTCTTTGACCGTTATTGCAAGTGGTGTAAAATATAAAAGTTCCAGGTATATTGAGCGCAGGTCAAACTGCATTTGGAATACCCTGTTCAGTGTTTGATACATGAAGTTAGGATTGTGTGTGTCAGGCGGCTCAGGAGGTAACACGTTCTCCTCTGAGTAAGGAGGTTGTGAGTTGAAGCCCCAGGTCAGGACTTGAACTCACATTGTCTAAACTAACATTCCAGCGCAGGGCTCGGGGTTTCTTACATTGTGGGAGATGCCATCCTTCAGATGAAACATTACACTGAGGTCCTGCCTGTTCAGGTGGTTGTTAAAGATCCTGCAGGGCTAAGAGATGGGGGTTTCTTTCTACTGATGTCCTGGCCAACAAGGAAGGGGGGTTCTGTGCGTGTACGTTTGAGGCCCTTGGGGTGTCCTCCCAATGTGAAGGCATGATAAATGTAAATTTCTGTATGTGTTTGTACGCACCTTGCTCTGTGTGTGTGTACGTGTCTTGCTGTGTGTGTGTGTGTGTGTGTGTGTGTATGTTTGTGCATGTGTGTATAGTTCAAATCATCATTACATAAACAGACAGGAGGTGCTGGTTGGGGTTGGTATAAAGAGAGGATTGTAAGTCAGACTCTGTGGAAGCTAACATTGCCTTGTAATAGGGGAGTTAACCCTGTGCACATACCACAGCCCACAGCAGCTTAGTGCTGTCCTGCACCTCCTGGGAGTCAACGGGTTACAGACCTCTCTCTCCCTTTCTCACGGTCTCCAGTCACATTCCACTTGGAATTTCTCATCTTTACCAGTTGTACATTGTCGCTTAGACGAAAGAAGCGCTGGGAGAGAAACCCGCTGGCCGTGTGCTGGGATACACAGGGCAGTGCCGTGCCTCGTCTCCTGGCTCCGCTGACCTGCACCTCCACATCAGCCACTCTCAGCTCGCCAGCTCACTCTCACTCACTCACTCACTCACTCACTCACTCACTCACAGGCTGACGACACTCCTGTGCAGAGCTGGGGAAGTGCTGCATTGTCAGAGGTGCTCCCCACGTTAGCCCAGGTCCTGTCTATGCTCATTCCACCTGAGGGGGGGGGAAGTGGGGTCTCCTTGGAGCTGAACTGGCCCCAAGGTGTCATGTTTGGCAATGGAATATCAGAATCGAGCCCCCCCCTCTGTGCCAGTCTCTCTCTCTCTCTCTCTCTCTCTCTCGAGCCCCCCCCTCTGTGCCGGGCTCTCTCTCTCTCTCTCTCGAGCCCCCCCCCCCCTGTGCCGGGGTCTCTCTCTCTCGAGCCCCCCCTATGTGCCGGTCTCCTCTCTTGAGCGCCCCCTCTGTGCTGGTTTCTCTCTCTCTCTCGAGCCCCCCCCCCTCTGTGCCCACTCTGTGCCGGTCTCTCGCTCGCTCTCTCTCTCGCTCTCTCGAGCACCCCCTCTGTGCCAGTCTCTCTCGAGCCCCCCCTCTGTGCCGTTCTCTCTCTCTCTCTCTCGAGCCCCCCCTCTGTGCCGGTCTCTCTCTCTCTCTCTCTCTCGAGCCCCCCCTCTGTGCCGCTCTCTCTCTCTCTCGAGCCCCCCCCTCTGTGCCGGTCTCTCTCTCTCTCTCTCGCTCGAGCCCCCCCCTCTGTGCCGGTCTCTCTCTCTCTCTCTCTCGAGCCCCCCTCCCCCTCTGTGCCGGTCGGACAAGCAGCAGGTTTCTGCATGTGCCACACACCTGGCTGACAAAAACAAATCTGTGCCTTTTCAAATGAACATTATACAAATGTAATGTTGTTGTTGTATTAAAGATCCTACAATTATCTTTCACATCCACCTGAAAAGGTACAAACCTTCTAACTTAGAGAGAGTGCTCTCGACTGATACAGACTGACACCGACTCAATACAGGGTATACCTGACTATATATATATATATATATATACTGGTATAGCTGTGGTTCTCTGTCAGTGTGTCTATCTGTCTGCCTTAGTGTCAGGCTGTGTGTGTGTGTGTGTGTGTCTGTCTTACTACCAGGCTGTGTATGTGTGTGTATCAATGCCAGGCTGTGTATGTGTGTGTGTATCAATGTCAGGGTGTGTGTATGTGTGTGTATATCAATGTCAGGGTGGTGTGTGTGTATCAATGTCAGGCTGTGTATGTGTGTGTGTATCAGTCGGCTGTGGTTATACAGTCCCTGACACGCTCAGTCCTATCTGTGCACAGACAGCGCTCTCTGCAGACACACACCAGCACTGTATCTGAGAATAATGATTAATAATCCTTGCACTTGATATAGCGCTTTTCACGTCTTCGACACGTCTCAAAGCGCTTCACACAGTATACTGTAAAGTGTAATGACTACATTTTGTGGGTGAAGCGTGGCAGCCGTGGGTGAAATTGTGTACAGCAGTGCCCCACAAACAGTGGATTGAGTGATTGCATTTTTTAAAAAAAATTAAAAAAAGAATTATTACCCCCAGAAAAGCGACCTCCAATCAACTAACAACCAGGTTCCTACTCACTGCTGCTAAACAGAGGTGTGTGGGGTAAGGAAACTTGCCCAACATTTCGCCCCCAGCCCGGGAATCAAACCCAGGTCCTCTGGCTTGTGAGGCGAGGGCTCTAACCATTGAGCTACAGGACTCCACATTCAGCTCTCTCCCCCCATCACTCTCCCCCCATCACTCTCCTCCCTTGCCCTCCTCCTCCTCGATCTCCCATGACCATTTGTCAGACATGTCTAGCATGTGTCCAGACAGGTTGGAGATGTTCAGGGATTAAAGTGGTTTGAAGGATTGGGAAATGGAGACTGTAAAAGTCTGGGTGAATTGAGGTTTTAATAACACAAAGAAACTGAAGTATAAAAGGGAGAGAAAGGAAACAAAGGGAAATGGAAAAGTCTAAAAGAGCACCTGGACCTCATGGCAACTAGTGTAGCTGGTAATTGTCTTGGCTTTTACTGGAGCATTACAGAGAATAGTCAAGCAACAGAGAAACCAGGAAAACACACAATGGAAGCCAGGGTTAAATATCGGGCATTGGATACCCTTGAGATACCTTTAGAGTAGAGCCTCGGGATTATTAACACAGACGAGACCTCAGTTTCATGTCTCACCTGAAGCACAACTCCTCCAACAATGGGGTGGGGTGTCAGACTGGCAGTGGGGCTCAAACCCACCACCTCCTGCCTGAGAGGCCAGTGTGTGACTGCCAGAGCCCGGGTGAGGCCAGTCAGACCGTAACACATGGAGAGGAGGAACAACAACAAATTGCATTTACACAGGGCCTTTCATGTCGTGTGGACGTCCCAAGGCACGAGACAGTGAAGGGTTTGCAGCCGAGCTGGGGGTTGGGATCAGGACGGGTGGTGGGAGGATGACCGAAGGCACAGTTGAAGAGAAAGGTGTTGAGATGGGCCTGAAGAAGTCGAGGGAGGGCTGAGGTGGAGGGGCTCTGGGATAGAGTTCAGGAGATGGTGCTGGGTGACTTACTGACGTTGCTTATTGTGACAGGTCCTGCAAAATGGAGATTATAAAAAAATACCCGCACAACCCGCACCTAATGGAATACTTTGAGGACGGTAAGCACTCCGGCTCGCTTCCACAACCACAGTCACCACATTCACAGCAATTCCCCATGAAGCACTTTGACATATAGCGTCATTCTAGACATTACATTATTATTCATGTAACTGGATGTGGCCATTAGATACTGGATGTTACTCAGCGCTGGGGCAAGCACCAGCCTGTCATTACAACCCCACCAGCCTGTCATTACAACCCCACCAGCCTGTCATTACAACTCCACCAGCCTGTCATTACAACCCCACCAGCCTGTCATTACAACCCCACCAGCCTGTCATTACAACACCACCAGAAAAGTTCAACCGGTTCTGCCTACCCCGCCCCTCACTACTTGCCCCCCCCCCCCATTGCTTGCCTCCCCCCATTGCTTGCCCCCCCATTGCTTGCCTTGCCCCTCACCACTTGTCCCGCCCCCCCCATTGCTTGCTCCCCCCATTGCTTGCCCCCCCATCACTTGCCTCCCCCCCATTGCTCGCCCCCCCCCCCCATTGCTTGCCTTGCCCCTCACCACCTGCCCCCCCCCCCCCCCATTGCTTGCCCCACCCCTCACAGTGGTGGGGGCTATCAGTTGAGTTGATAAAATGGGAGGGTTGGTGGGTGTGGGCTTGTCTAATGGCTGATGCTCTCTCTCTGCTGCAGGTGTCTTTGAGATGGAAAATATAAAGAACGGCAGAGGGCAGAACGGAGGTAATTACTCCAGTGTGTGTGTATATATATATATATATAATAATATATAGTGGTGTGTGTATATATATAATATATCGTGGGGTATGTGTGTGTATATATTTATAATAATATATATAGAGTGGTGTGTGTGTGTATATATATATAATATATATAGAGTGGTGTGTGTGTATATAATATATAGTGGTGTGTGTGTATATATTTATAGTAATATATATATATAGAGGAGTGTGTATGTATATATAATAATGTATAGAGGGGTGTGTGTGTATATATATAATATATATAGAGAGGGGTGTGTGTGTGTAGAGGGGTGAATGATGAGTGAGTCTGGGGGCTGCCAGATACTTGAGCATGTGATGCCGGGTGCAAATAATTATTGTAGCTTTCTCTCCCTCTCCCCCCGCGCCCCCCATCTCGCTCTCTCCAGTGGTGACTGAGACCATCACAACTAAAGTAACGTCACTGCCACCAAGTAAGTACTTACAGTCCTGAGATCCTGGCACTGACCGACTCCTGGCAAAAGCTCTGCCCACCATCAGCGACTGGCCGACCAATTGCCAACCCACTGACTGACTGACCCACTGACTGACTGACCCACTGACTGACTGACCCACTGACTGACTGACCCACTGACTGACTGACCCACTGACTGACTGACCCACTGACTGACTGACCCACTGACTGACTGACCCACTGACTGACTGACCCACTGACTGACCCACTGACTGACGACCCACTGACTGACTGACCCACTGACTGACCGACCCACTGACTGACCGACCCACTGACCGACCCACTGACTGACCGACCCACTGACCGACCGACACACTGACCCACTGACCGACCGACCCACTGACCGACGACCCACTGACCGACCGACACACTGACCGACCCACTGACTGACCGACCCACTGACTGACCGACCCACTGACTGACCGACCCACTGACTGACCGACCCACTGACTGACCGACCCACTGACTGACCGACCCACTGACTGACCGACCCACTGACTGACCGACCCACTGACTGACCGACCCACTGACTGACCGACCACTGACTGACCGACCACTGACTGACCGACCCACTGACTGACCGACCCACTGACTGACCGACCCACTGACTGACCGACCCACTGACTGACCGACCCACTGACTGACCGACCCACTGACTGACCGACCCACTGACTGACTGACCGACTGACTGAGGTGGGGTTGTTTACTGGTGTTACGGGTTGACGTGAATGAAAGGAGTTGTGAGAGTCTGGGATAATCCTTTGCTCCACTTCCTCCCTCCCTCGCTCCCCCACCCCGAACAGCTGGACGTGGGAATTGGAGCAGCTCATCCCGGACTCGCTTCCCGAGCTCCACCTTCTCCACGTCGCCCGATGCCACACTGGAACGCCGCACTCTAGTCACCAGGAACCGCGGATATGAAGGTAACCTGAGCTCTGCTGTGTGTGCGCCAGCTTGGATCGCTGGGGTGTCCCTGGGTGCCAGCCTGGGTCAGCAGGTACCAGCCTGGGTCAGCGGGTGCCAGGTGTGCCAATTCCCATGTGTGTTTGTGTACAGTGTGTGTACAATGTGAGCATGTGTACAGTGTGAGTGTGTGTATAATGTTCAGTCAACAAGACCGAGGCCCTCCTGATTGGTTCCTGTCAGTGCCTTCTCACCTCAGGCACTGACAGCATCACCATCCTGGGAAGCTCAGTCCACCTCCCTGAGCCAGTGAGGAACCTTGGGGTCTTGTTTAACCCTCTGTGGTCCTATCACCCCCACTCTTGCTCCTCGGGCACTGGCAGCATCAGCATCCACAGCTGCACACTCAACATCACTAAGCCAGTCAGGAACCTGGGGGTCTTGTTTGACCCTGAACTTTCCTTTCTCCCCCACATCCGCTCCATGACCGGCACTGCCTACCACCACCTCCACAACATTGCCAAACTCCGCCACTGCCTCACCCCTCAGGCCCCCAAACTCTCACCCACACATTCGTCACCTCAAGGCTCGATTATGGAAACTCCCTCCTCATCGGCCTTTCCAACTCTTCCCTTCACAAGCTGCAGATCATCCAAAACTCTGCAGCTCGTGTCCTCTCACGCCTCTCCATGGCCTCGCCCCCTCCTACCTCTCTGACCTGCTGACTCCCTACCAACCTGCCCCCTCCCTCCGTTCATCGAGCTCCGGCTGCTCCATGTCTCCCGCCTGACCCGCCCTACCATCGGTGGCCGGGCTTTCAGCCTCTCTGCCCCCACACTCTGGAACTCCATCCCACGGTCCCTTCCCCTCGCTTCTTCCCTCACCTCCTTCAAGGCCGGTCTCAAGACCCTTCTCTTCGACCGTACCTTTGGTCTCCCTCCCACTTCTCTACCTTCCCTCACCCCTACCCCACCCCTCCCCCCTGCTCGGGTCCTGACTGTCCAGCGCCTTGGGACGTCCTCTTGATGTGAAATGTAATTTTGCTGTTGTTATAATGTGTACACAGTGTGAGTGTATTCACTGTTACTCAGACTGGACTCACTCCCTGTTACAGGCAGCTCTAGTGGAAACTCCTCACCAGAATTCTCCAGGAAACAATACAGTAAGTGACAGCTTCACTTTCCTTCATTTCGTCTCAGAGGGTGGAGTGTCCATTGCATCGTCCACCACCGGGAACGGGAGGAACGGGAGGAATGGGAGGGGGAGGAATGGGAGGGGGAGAGGCCGAGCTCTGTTGATAACTATTCTGAATGATTTTACTTTTAGATCCCACAACATCAAGGGGACGGAGTCAGAGCCGAGGTACCCACAGCCCCTTTCTGTGATAAAACGCCAACTCCCAACCCCACACTCCCCCCCCCCCCCCCCCCCGTCTCTCTACCCCCCCCCCGTCTCTCTACCCCCCCGTCTCTCTACGCCCCCCGTCTCTCTACGCCCCCCGTCTCTCTACCCCCCCGTCTCTCTACGCCCCCTCTCGCTAATCCCCCCCTCTCTCTAACCCCCCTCTCCCTCCCTCCTCTGTAATAATCTTTTGTCTTTACAGAGAGTGAGATCCGAGCCCGGCTGCAGAGTGCCTCCCCGTCCACCCGATGTAAGTACAGTGTTCCTCTCGGGCAGGCAGTCAGGGACTGGGGAAGGGGGGCTCTGGGGGGAGGTCACTGTCTCACTCACTGTCTGACTGAGGGACTGAGGGATGGAGAAGGGAGCAAAGGAGGAACTGACTGACACTGACTGTCTGACTATCTGACTCACTGTTTATCTGTCTGTCTTTTTGTCTGTCTGTCTCACTGTTTGTCTGTCTGGCTGTCTGACTGTCTGTCTCACTGTTTGTCTGTCTGGCTGTCTGACTGATTGTCTCACTGTTTGTCTGTCTGGCTGTCTGACTGACTGTCTCACTGTTTGTCTGTCTGGCTGATTGTCTCAGGGACGGAGCTGGATGATGTGAAGCGGCTTCTGAAGGGAAGTCGATCAGCCAGTATTAGCCCCCCCCGCACAGCCTCCGGCACCCTGCCCTACCCCAAAAAGGCCATGGTGGAGACCAAGATAGTGAGTGCCAGCACCCAGCAGGGTAAGCTCAGCCTCTCTGTCTGCTCGCATCTCTCTCCATCTCTCCATTCACACTCTGTCTCTCTCTTTCCATTTCTTTTTCTCTCTCCTTTCTATCTATGGCTCCCTCTATCGTTCTCTCATTCTCTATTTCACTCCCAACAATTTCTCTCTCCCTGGAACCAGATGTAAATGGTTTAGTAGTTGGTTTGAGCTTGTGGGTGGGTTTCCGTATGTATCAGGTACCTGGCTGACCAAAAAAAATCTCTCCATTTCTCTGTCCATTCCACTTTTTTTTCTCTCTCTTTCTGTTCTGCTTCTCCCTCAGTTCTCCTGTGACGTGTGTTTGAGCTCACAGTCCAGGCTGTATTGTCAGAGGTGCCATCCTTCAGCTAAGACGTTAAACCGAGGTCCTGTCTTCTGGGTTCAGGTGGATGTTAAAGATTCTGTGACGCTATTTGGAAAGAGAAGAGAGTTTCTCTCTCCCAATGTTCTTCCTTAAACAAGGTTTGCCACTCACTTCATTGCTGAGGGACATTGCTGCCACTTTCACCCACAAACACAGTCACTACAGTCAAATCATTATTTGGGGAAGACAAGTTTGCAGGGCTATGGGGAGAGAGCGGGGGAGTGTGGTTGATCAGGACTATGGGGAGAGAGTGGGGGAGTGGGGTTGATCAGGGCTATGGGGAGAGAGCGGGGAGTGGGGTTGATCAGGACTATGGGGAGAGAGTGGGGGAGTGGGGTTGATCAGGGCTATGGGGAGAGAGTGGGGGAGTGGGGTTGATCAGGGCTATGGGGAGAGAGCGGGGAGTGGGGTTGATCAGGGCTATGGGGAGAGAGCGGGGAGTGGGGTTGATCAGGGCTATGGGGAGAGAGCGGGGGAGTGGGGTTGATCGGGGCTATGGGGAGAGAGCGGGGAGTGGGGTTGATTTGGAAGCCCTTTTCAAAGAGCAGCACAGACACGATGGGCTGAATGGCCTCCTCCTGTGCCATGTGATCCTATGATTCTATGAAATCCTGTCAGGTCATTTTGCCAATGTGATCAATGTGAGGATTCTGTAACTCTTGCTGCTTATTGCAGTGTCGAACGGCTATGACAGTTTGCGGCTGGATGCCACCTCACCATCGTACATGTGGACGTCCACTCTGCCTGCTGCGGGCTCCGCTCTGAGTGTCACTGAATATCACAACAACCTGTCACACAATGGCTCTCTCCTCAGCAATGGCGCTCATTCCTCTCTCTCAGGTATGTGCGTGATCCCCCGCCCATGTGCTCACTGTGTGTACATACAGCAATACTGCACGCATTGTTCTATATAATACACACCCAGTAACAGTGTTATTATATAATATACAGCTATAGCCAGTCACACACCGTGTGTTATTATATAATATACAGCTATAGCCAGTCACACAGTGTGTTATTATATAATATACAGCTTTGTGGAGTCCTGTAGCTCAGTGGTTAGAGCACTCGCTTTGCAAGTGAGAAACCTGAGTTCAATTCCAGGCAGAGGGCGAAACCTTGGGCAAGTTTCCTTACTCCACACAGAGCCTAATAATAGTCCCTCCAAAACCAAAAACAATAATAAATTGATCATTTTCAATCTACGACTGTTTGTGGGACATTGCTGTGTGCAATTGGCTGGCGCGTTCGCCCACAAATATACAGTCAATTCACTTTACAATATGTTTTGTGAAGCGCTTTGGGACGTCCTCCCGACGTGAAAAGCGCTATATCAAATGCAAGGATTATTATAGCCAGTCACACAGTGTGTTATTATATAATATACAGTTATAGCCAGTCACACAGTGTGTTATTATATAATATACAGCTATAGCCAGTCACACAGTGTGTTATTATATAATATACAGCTATAGCCAGTCACACACAGTGTGTTATTATATAATATACAGCTATAGCCAGTCACACAGTGTGTTATTATATAATATACAGCTATAGCCAGTCACACACAGTGTGTTATTATATAATATACAGCTATAGCCAGTCACACAGTGTGTTATTATATAATATACAGCTATAGCCAGTCACACACCGTGTGTTATTATATAATATACAGCTATAGCCAGTCACACACCGTGTGTTATTATATAATATACAGCTATAGCCAGTCACATACCGTGTGTTATTATATAATATACAGCTATAGCCAGTCACACAGTGTGTTATTATATAATATACAGCTATAGCCAGTCACACACTGTGTTATTATATATATACAGCTATAGCCAGTCACACAGTGGTATTATATAATATACAGCTATAGCCAGTCACACAGTGTGTTATTATATAATATACAGCTATAGCCAGTCACACACTGTTATTATATAATATACAGCTATAGCCAGTCACACAGTGTGTTATTATATAATGTACAGCTATAGCCAGTCACATACCGTGTGTTATTATATAATATACAGCTATAGCCAGTCACACACAGTGTGTTATTATATAATATACAGCTATAGACAGTCACACACCGTGTGTTATTATATAATATACAGCTATAGCCAGTCACACACAGTGTGTTATTATATAATATACAGCTATAGCCAGTCACACACTGTGTTATTATATAATGTACAGCTATAGCCAGTCACATACCGTGTGTTATTATATAATATACAGCTATAGCCAGTCACACACAGTGTTTATATAATATACAGCTATAGACAGTCACACAGTGTGTTATTATATAATATACAGCTATAGCCAGTCACACACTGTGTTATTATAATATACAGCTATAGCCAGTCACACAGTGTGTTATTATATAATATACAGCTATAGCCAGTCACACAGTGATGTAGGCCCTGTACAGGGAGAGGACCTGTGCGGGAGAGAGCAGAGGGCCTGTGGGGGAGGGGTCAGAGGACCCGGAGGTGAGGGGGCAGAGGACCCGTGGAGGAGTGGGGGAGAGGGCTTGTTGGGGGAGTAGGAAGATGGCCTGTGACTGTGCAGTGTTGTTCTTTCAGTGCAGGGACTTCAGAAGAACCTAACCTCCAGCCCTGGGACAGGGAGTGTGGGAGTGATGGCAACCTCAGGTCGGTGTACATTCTAACAGCCAGACCCCGTCCCACACTGCCACCCCACCCCCCGCACGCACACACTGCACATGTCACTCAGACACACATTATGTCACTGTGAACGTCTCTTGTGCCTAATGGATCCTCTTGTCTCTATCTGGTCACTGACTTGCCATTGACCTCAGGGGCAGTTCACGGCATCCAGAATAACCTGACCCCCAGCTCAGTGCTGGTCACCAGCCCAGGTCTGAGCCTCACCAACCCAGGTAAGTGTTGTCATCTTATCCCATAGCGAGGGGTTTCCCAGGGTGTGTCACCAGCATCCCTGAGTAACCAACCATCGCCCAGTGACTGAGGGAGTGACAGGGTGTGTGAGGGAGACAGGTTGTGGGAGGGGAGAGGGATGGTGGGGTGACAGGGGCTGTGGGAGGGGATGTGGGAATGATGGAGGGGGGGGGATGGGTGCTGGACCGGGACTGTGGGAGGGGTGATGGGGGGTTGTGGGAGGGAGTGTCAGATTGATTGTGTTAAACCTGGATTAACTTGGCTGTTGTATGACTTGTGTCTGTGATGCCGGGTTCCTATCTACGCTGACAGCACTGGGTGTGCAGAAGAACTTGGTGTCCCACTCGATGGTGACCTCCTCCAGCCTGGCCAGCACTGGCACCAGCACCGGCATGGGCACCGCCATGGGCACCGGCACTGGTACATCAGGTCAGTGCATGGTTCGGTCTCTGCCACACTCTGTGGCCACATGGCACATGAACATGACATTGTTCCTGTGATAATATTCCTTTATGATGATTTTCTGATTTCTTCTGATCTTGAATTAATTCACTGTTTGCTGGATAACAAGACTTTGATAAAGTTGATATAAATAGGCTGTTTCCACTGGTTGGGGAACTCACAAATATACAAATATTTCACCCATAAATATACAGTCAATTCACTTTACAGTGAAGCACATTGAGATGTCTCGAAGACATGATAAAGCGCTATATCAAATGCAAGTTTTTTTTATTATATAACTAACCAGTAGAACAAGAGCTCCGGGGCAGGTGGGGAGGGGTGGAGGCACAAATATAATGACAATGATCCTTGCATTTGATATAGGGACTTATCGCGTCTTTGAGACGTCTCAAAGCGCTTCACAGAATATGCTGTAAAGTGAATAGACTGTAAGTGAATTGTGGGCGAAATGCGGCAGCCAATTGTGCACAGTGGCGTCCCACAAACAGTCATGGATTGAAGTGACCAATTTGATTATTATTTTTTTTCTTGCGGGATTATTATCAGGCGTGTGGAGTAAGGAAACTTGCCCAAGGTTCCACCCTGCTGGGAATCACATTGTATTTTACTCATTTTCTGTCAGCACTAATTCCCTCTGATTCATTCATGTTCACTAATGACTTCTGATGTCCAGTGATCTTTGCTGGTCTCTGCTTTTCATGGATTCCACTCTTCCCTGAGTGAGTGATTGCTTGTAACTGCTTTTCGTCATTGTTCTTCACTGCTCTCCTCTCATCATATGGAGTCCTGCAGTTTAGTGGTTAGAGTGTTTGCCTCGCAAGCGAGAGGATCTGGGTTTGATTCTCGGCAAGGCGAAACCTTAGGCAAGTTTCCTTACTCCACACACCTGTTTACCAGCAGTAAGTAGGAACCTGGTTGTTTGTTGATGGGCGGATGGATCGCTTTTCCAGGGGTAATAATTCCTTCAAAATAATAATAATTTGATCACTCAATCCACGACTGTTTATGGGATACTGCTGTGCGCAATTGGCTGCCATGTTTTGCCCACAAAGTATACAGTCACTACATTTTACAGTATATTCTGTGAAGCGCTTTGAGACGTCTTGAAGACGTGATAAGGTGCTGTATCAAATGCAAGGATTACAACAACAACATTACATATGTAAAGTGCCTTTCACGTCAGGAGGATGTCCCAAGGTGCTGGACAGACAGAGTTACGTACCTGAGCTGGGGGTCGGGATTGGAGAGGGTGGAGGGCAGGGGAGGAAGCAGGGAGATCAAAATCACGGTTGAAGAGGAGGTTCTTGAAATGGGTCTTGAAGTTGGCGAAGGAATGGGTGAGGTGGAGGGACTGTGGGATGGAATTCCAGAGGTTGGGGGCAGAGTGGCTGAAGGTCCACATGCCAATGGTGGGCGGGCAAGGCAGGGGACGTGAAATGGCCGAAGCCTGCTAAGTGGAGGGAGTGGGCAGGTTGGTAGAGGGTTCAGAGGTCACAGAGGTAGAGGGGTTGTTATTGTTATAATATCAGTATCCTCACTGATGTCAGATTGGGTGAGTCCTATCTGGTCCCGGGGTAATTGGTTGTGTCTGTGTGTTCTGCAGTGGGGAATGTGGGCAGTGATGACATCTTAAAGAAAGACTACAAGTTCCTGCTGCTGGAGAAGGAGACTTCCCCGAAGAAAGACGCTGAGCTGCTGATCATGAGCAAAGACAGCGGCAAACTCTTCACCACCTCTTCCAATGGCTTCCCTGGTAACTCACTACAGTTTGTATTGATATAGCGCTCTGCACACGGGAGCCTCCGTCACACAGCACTCCACACCCCCAAGGAACTCCTCACCATATTAAGCACAATGTTTTGTTGTCACAGCGATGCTGGAAGACAACACGTTGAAGAAGGAGAAGCTGGTGACCAGCGGCACAGACCACTTCACCAACACCAGTGCCAGCGGTAAGAGAGGCATCCACACAGCGCCTCCTGTGTGTGTGTAACCGCACTATCCTGTGTGTGTGTAACCGCACTATCCTGTGTGTGTGTGTAACCGCACTATCCTGTGTGTGTGTAACCGCACTATCCTGTGTGTGTGTAACCGCACTATCCTGTGTGTGTGTAACCGCACTATCCTGTGTGTGTGTAACCGCACTATCTTGTGTGTGTGTGTGTAACCGCACTATCTTGTGTGTGTGTAACCGCACTATCTTGTGTGTGTGTAACCGCACTATCTTGTGTGTGTGTAACCGCACTATCTTGTGTGTGTGTAACCGCACTATCCTGTGTGTGTGTGTGTAACCGCACTATCCTGTGTGTGTGTGTGTAACCGCACTATCCTGTGTGTGTGTGTGTAACCGCACTATCCTGTGTGTGTGTGTGTAACCGCACTATCCTGTGTGTGTGTGTGTAACCGCACTATCTTGTGTGTGTGTGTGTAACCGCACTATCCTGTGTGTGTGTGTAACCGCACTATCCTGTGTGTGTGTGTAACCGCACTATCCTGTGTGTGTGTGTAACCGCACTATCCTGTGTGTGTGTGTAACCGCACTATCCTGTGTGTGTGTGTAACCGCACTATCCTGTGTGTGTGTAACCGCACTATCCTGTGTGTGTGTGTAACCGCACTATCTTGTGTGTGTGTGTGTAACCGCACTATCTTGTGTGTGTGTGTGTAACCGCACTATCCTGTGTGTGTGTGTGTGTAACCGCACTATCCTGTGTGTGTGTAACTGCACTATCTTGTGTGTGTAACCGCACTATCCTGTGTGTGTGTGTGTGTAACCGCACTATCCTATCACAATATGCATACAGTGAGACCCACACTGCGATGGTGCTCACAGTCACACATACTGGCAGTGTGCACATACTGGACGGCATGGACTGTGAGAGAAGCACAGCACTGCCCAGTGCAGGGTAGTGAGGGGGCTCTGGGATGCAGGTGGGGGGTGGGGGGTGGTGTCTGCACCACCTCATTGTGTTATGTTGCTACAGGAGGCTTAAAGATGGCGACCAAAGACAAGGCCACATATGCAGGTGAGTGAGCGAGCGAACGAGCTTTGTGTCGGCCTGCTGTGAGGTAGTTACGGGCAGAAAGGGGATTATGGGGGGAAACTGAGTTATGGGGGGAAAAGGGGGTTATGGGGGAGGTGGTTATTCTGCTGAAGACCTTTCTTTTCGACCGCGCCTTTGGTCACTTTCCCCCCACCTTGGCTCGGCCCCGGGATCCTAAACTGTAAAGCGCTCTGAGACGCCGTCTGGCGTGGGGGCGATATATAAACCCAAGTTGTGTTGTTGTTATGGGGAGAATATGGTTACGGGGGGATGGGGGGGAAACGTGATTATGGGGAAAAGGGGGTTACAGAGACTATTTGAGCCACTGACTCCGCTATCTGGCTGCAGTGATCCGCTCGAGTGAGGAGAGCTTGGATACCCTGCCCTCCTGGTGTTCCTGCTGTCGCTGCTGTACCTGGTGGAAGTGGCTCCTGGGACTGCTGTTAGCCTGGCTGCTGCTGCTCGGCCTGCTGTTTGGCCTCATCGCCCTGGGTGAGTCCTGCTCCGGGGGGAGGAGAGGGGGGAACAGCCCCACATCTGGTCCCTGACCAGGACCGCCTTCCTCCACCTCCGCCACATTGTCCGCCTCCGACCCTACCTTACCCCAAATGCAGCTGAAACCCTCGTACATGTGTTTGTCACCTCCTGCTTGGATTACTCCAACGCACTCCTCGCTGGTCTCCCCAGCTCCACCTTTCACAAGATCAGCTCATTCAGACTCTGCCGCCGCATACTGACCAAACTCCGTCTCCACATCTCACCAGTTCTGGCCCCGGCTCCACTGTCTCCCCATCACCGAACCGATCGATATCAAGATCCTCTCACTTGTGTCCAATCCCTTCACTGTCTGGCACCTCCCTCCCTCTCCAACCCCCTCACTCCCCAATCCCCCACCCGGTGCCTCCACTGGACTGGCACCAGTTCCTTGCACCCTCCGCCCCACCATCGGAGGTCACACTTTCAGCCACTAGGCCCCGAAAATCTGGAACACTCTCCCTCTCTCCCTCAATCCCTCTGTCTTACCCTCTCTCTCCCCTCTTTCAAGTCCGACCTGAAAACCTTTCTCTTCAACTGTGCTTACAGCCACCTCCCCCCCCCCCCCCCCCCACCCACCTCGCTTGGAGTCAGGCTCTGCCACTGTTAAGAGCATAAGCTGTTGTTATCATCGTTGCTCTCAGCATTCCATAGTAATTCAGGTCCAGCTCTGGCTCCCCGGCTGACCCGGGGCCCGGCTGCACACCGGGGCGGGGGGTCAGTAAACATTGTGACTCCTCCTCCTTCCAGCTGATGAAGTGAAGAACCTGAAGGGTCGGGTGAAGGAGCTGGAGTCGAGAGGTCACACAAGCCGCCTCACAGGCTCCAGCGAGGACTATTCCTTCGCCTCCAGAGACCGGGTTGGTGACCTGGGCCTGGGCCTGGCCACGGGGGGTGGCTCAGGGCCCAACATCGAGCAGTACATTCAGAGAATGGTGGAAAAGGAGCTGAAGTCAGACACAGTACAAGGTGAGCTCAGTGAGGGTGTCGGCTGAGGCTCATCTGTGTGAATTAGAGCCATTCAGTAAGCGTGAGGCCACCAATCTATGTTCTGGATGGACTCCCATTCACTCTGAATACTGGAGTTACTGGAGATGGACATGAACCTACAGCTCTGCCAATGGCCCAGGGCTTCAGATATTGCTCAGGGCAGCTCGGGGTCCTACAGACCACCAGCTTCTGACCACAGCTTGGTTTAGCCCAGTGGGAACCCACTGCACAGTCACTACACCCCGAAACTCTGCAATACGCCTCCCTCTTGCCCCCTCCTTCCCCATCTTCAGATTGTGCCTGAAGACTTTCCTCTTCAAGAGTGCCTATGGTCACCTCCCCCTCCCCCCAGCTCAGTGTCGCGCTCCATCACTGTCGAGTGCTCTGGGACGCTGCCCTGTGTGAGGAGCATTGTATAAAGTTGTTGTTCTTGTGTTGAGTTCCTGATCTCAGTCTGGGCTACACATAGCCATGTGCGAGGGAGAGGATTCCCTCTCCACCTGCTGAAAGGTGTGTGTGTGGATGTAGAGTGAGGGCAGGACAGGGCCCAGAGGACAGGCTGACATGAGAGAATGGCCCCTTTGAGGGGGGCCCTGAGGATGAATCTGGAGATGGGAAGTATTGTGTGTTAGTGCCCACAGTGACCTTTCTCTCTCTCTCTAATCGCAGCATCACTGAGGGGAGGACCTGGTGAGTACTGAGCCACAGGAAACATTCCCATCTTCCTATCTTGTCTAACTGTGTGATGCGCGTTCAGATGTCTGTGGTTACCCGCACCCCGTGTGTGTGTGTGTGTGTGTGTAGTTAACACCCCCTCCCCCCGATGTGTCTGCCTGTTGATAATGACCCAGTAACATTTTGTTTTCTTCTCTCTCTTCTCCCCAGGAGCCAAAGGTCAGTGTAACTTTCTTTATATTGACAGTCTTGTTATCTCACATTATCTCTGTGATCTGAAGTGCTCTCTGCCTCTGCCCTGATTGTGTCTGTCCGGCCACTCTGCCTCAGTGTGTTTCTGTTTGCTGTTTGTTGATCCCTATCTGCCTGTGTGTGTGTTTCTCTCTCTCTCTCTTTCTCTGCCTCTCTATCACACTCTCTTTATTTAATCTCTTTAATCTGTTGACAGGTGATCAAGGATTTCCTGGAACTCCAGGTAACTGACATTGTGTGTGAAGTGACCCTGTGACTGGTTGCTGTTCACTGACTGATGGGAGAGTCAAGCTGTGGCTCTAACATGTGATATGTGATGTGCTAATAGTCACGTTGGAAGTAAGAGGACCTGGGTTTGACTCCCATTGGGAAAGTTTCCATATACCTCTGTTTACCAGCAGTAAGTAGGAACCCTGTTGTTAGTTAATTGACGGATCACTTTTCCAGGGACAATAATCCCTTCAAAATTTGTTTTAATAATAATAGTTCGGTCACTCAATCCACGACTGTTTGTGGGACATTGCTGTGCTGCCGCGTTTCACCCACAAAACCCACAGTCATTACACTTTACAGTGTATCCTGTGAAGCGCTTTGTGATGCCTCGAAGAAGTGATGAGGCGCTATTATCAAATGCAAGGATTATTATTATTATTGAAACAAAACGCACAGTAAAGTGGGGCTGCTGGTGGGTATTATAAGCCATGGCTGTGGAGGGATGGATGTTAGTATTTTTGCTGTGTAGCATTTTCAGAAGTGCTCCCAGTGTGAAGCGCTGTATCATATTATTACTGTAATAGGTCCTGTCGGTGTCCAATAACTAGCTCTTTGCTGATGTCTCCTCAGGTCAGGCTGGGCCCCCAGGACCTGAGGGGCCTAAAGGACAGAAAGGCAGTGCTGGTAAGGGAGTGTTCATTAATCTCACCCCCACCCCCGGCTCCCGCGTTAGGCTCCCCCCACACCGAGCTCCCTCTACCCCTCACCGGGCTTCTCCCCCCTCCAGGATCCCCCCGCACCGCACTCAACCATGCCCCCCGGGCTCCCCCCGCGCACTCCCCCACACCCCTGGGCTACTGGTGCAAGTGCCAGGGAGAGGCTTTACTGTGCCACTTACTGTGCCACTTACTGTGGCACTGCCAGGTTAAGGTTGCAGTTTGATTGGTAGCGCCTCATGCTGATGTGAGCCGCCAGAGGCAGTAATGTTACTATCCACTCATTAACTCCAGGGGAACATGGAGCAGATGGACAGAGAGGCCTGCGGGGTGAGACTGGACCAGCAGGAAAGGGAGAAAAGGGAGACCGAGGTAAGAGGGTACCCTACTCTTCAACTGTGCCTTTGGTCACCCTCCTATCCCCATCCTTCCTGCCCTCCACCCCTCCTGATCTCAACCCCCAGCTCAGGTCCAAATCCCTGACTGTCCAGCGCCTTGGGACGTCCTCCTGACTTGTAAGACACAATGTAACTGTCATTTGCTGTTCTTGCTGGTGGTGAGGAGTGGAGAAGCTTTCTCCTCACTGCCATTGGCTGATTTGATCCTATTTGGTCAGATCCGAACCAAACATTTGTCGTGAGGATTAGGGGTTTAAGCCTGGTTGGGCTGTGGCTGGCTGGGCTGTGGTTGGGTTGGGCTGTGGCTGGCTGGGCTGTGGCTGGCTGGGTTGGGCTGTGGCTGGCTGGGTTGGGCTGTGGCTGGGCTGTGGTTGGGTTGGGCTGTGGTTGGGCTGGGCTGTGGCTGGGCTGGGCTGGGCTGTGGCTGGCTGGGTTGGGCTGTGGCTGGCTGAGTTGGGCTGTGGCTGGGCTGTGGCTGGCTGGGTTGGGCTGTGGCTGGCTGGGCTGTGGTTGGGTTGGGCTGTGACTGACTGGGTTGGGCTGTGGTTGGTTGGGCTGTGGCTGGGTTGGGCCTCCACACTGTGCTCTCTGCTCCCTTGTTAAAGGATTGCTTTCTCTCCTTGTACAGGTTCCCCAGGTGAGCCAGGGTCTCACGGGCTGCCCGGTCTAATGGGTCCAAAAGGTAAGAGTGTAAAATATTTGATGTCAACAACAATTGATGGCCTTGTTAATGGCTTTGAGAGGTGAAAGCCGCTATATACACATGTGTATTATATGGTAACAAAGCACCAGCTAACCAGTCACAACTCCCCAAATGTCCTACATTGGACTTTCTGAGGGGAACGTGTCCATTGTGATTACCAGTTGGGTTGGAAGGTCGCGAGACAGGATGGAGAAGGGTAATAGGGCAGAGTGAAGAGCACACATTGGGAAGAAATTGTAAATGACTTGGTGGTTTGAATGTTTAATTTTTTCCCCAATGTCTGCTCTTCACTCTGTCCTATTACCCTCCTCCATCCTGTCCCATGATCCAGCCCATCTTTGCCTTCCCAAGTGAATGAGGCTCTGGAATTAACTGCCCACCATTAACTGCTAGTGCTCTGTTCCCACAGAGTTCAAGATCCTTATCTTCACTTTTAAATGCTCCACAGTCATGCCCCACCCTATCTCTGTGATCCTCTAAACCTCTACCAACCCACACCCTCCCTTCTCTAGTAGGCACTGGTCAACTTCACACCCCTGCTCCACCATCGGAGGATGGGCCTTCAGCCTTTCTGCCCCACACTCTGAAACTCCATCCTGAACTCCATCCTCACCCTTTCCCTTGCCTCCTTGAAAGTCAGTCTCAAGATCTTCCTCTTTGATTGTGCCTTCGGCCACCCTCCCACTCCTACCGCTCTTTGCCCCCAGCCTTCCGAAATCCAAGCCGCAGCTTGGGTGGGTGCAAACCCTCAACTGCCCAGAGCATTGGGATGTCCTCCCGACATGAAAGTCGCTGTATAAATGCAATTTGCTGCTGTTGTTATGGTTCAGCAATAGTGAGACTGATCTGGACCTGGAAGGAGGGAAGTATGGTTCTTCCTTGCCAAAGCTCTGGAACGCGTTGTTGCCAACCAACTTCGTGCACACCTCTCCCTCCACATTCTACTCCAACCCTTCCAATCAGGTTTCCTCTCTACCCACAGTACAGAGACAGCGCTCGTGAAGGTCACAAACAATATCCTCTCTATCTGTGACCAGGGCTCCCTTTGCTTCCTCGTCCTCCTGGACCTCTCTGCCATGTTCAACACAGTCAATCACGCCTTCCTCCTCCACTGCCTGTCCTCCATCATCCACCTCAGTGGGACCGCACTCACTTGGTTTGAGTCCTACCTTACAAACCTTACATGTTTGCGGATGATACTCAACTCTACTTTTCCACCTGCGACCCCCAATTCCCTGATGTTCTGTCAGTTTGTCTGTCTGATATCAGGAGCTGGATGAGCACACATTTCCTGCAGTTAAGCATCAACAAGACAGAAGCCATACACTTTGGCTCCCGCCGACATCTTCTGTCCCACGATTCATCAACCTACCTGACCTGTCCTTAAAACTCTCTGAACCCCATGCACAACTTAGGCATCAAGTTTGAGCCCCAGGTATCCTTCCTCCGCCCACATCTGGTCCCTGACCAGTACCGCTTTCTTCCACTTCTGCCACATTACGCGTCTCTGACAATACCTCACCCCAAAAGCGGCCGAAACCCTTGTCCATGCCTTTGTCACCTCTCGGCTGGACGACTCTAATGCCTCCCTCGCCGGTCTCCGCTCCTCCACTATCCACAAAATCCAGCTCATTCAATACTCTGCCGCCTGCACTCTCACCCGCACCAAACTTCATACCCCAATTACCCCAGTCCTTACCAAACTCCATTGGCTCCCTGTCACAGAGCAGATCGACTTCAAGATCCTCACTCTAGTGTTTAAATCTCGCCATCCCTTCAACCCCCTATCTCTCTCACCTCTTCTGTGCCCACAGCAGTACCAGCTGCCTCCGCTCTACTGGGTCCGGCCTCCTCTGTGTCCCCCGAATCCTCTGGTCCACCATCGGCGGCCGTGCCTTCAGCCACACCCCAAAACTTTGGAACTTGGTCCCTTTGCCCTTTATCTTGTCCCCTCCTTCCCCATCTTCAGGTCGTGCCTGAAGACCTTCCTTTTCGACCGCGCCTACGGTCACCTCCCCCTCCCCTGACTCAGCCTTGAGCTCCACCATTGTTAAGCTATAAGACGCTGCCTGGTGTGGAGAGTGCTATATAAGTGCAAGTTGTTGTTGTTCTTCCTGATCAGTGGGGGAGAGAATGAGAGACGATGGGGTAAAATGAGGACTAACAGTTGAGGACTTTGACATTAAACTAACAGTGTTGTCCATCCACAGGAATTCCTGGGATTCCAGGTTCAAATGGTAATTCTGGTTCTCCAGGCGCTAAAGGTAAGCTCACCGACCACCAGCAAGCTCAGTCCCTGAGGTTTATCCATTCCATCTCACACCGAGAGGTTCCCATTGTTCAACAACTACATTCACCTGATAGTAAATAAGAGATTTTACTTCCCTAACTCGGATCACATGCTAACCAGTCCGCCCCCCCCCCCCCCCCCCCACTCCACACGGCCCACCACACACACCTCACCCCCACACATCTCACCCTAACACAACCAGGTACATGCTGCAGATCATTACACTGTACAGCATTGCAATGTTTGTTATCTAAGTTGTGCTGAATCTACAGTAGGTTGCTGCCCAGATTAGTTTTTGTGTAATAATTGTTCCGTGTAGGTGATACTCTTCTGTCTCTCACTGCTCCCGGATTGAATTACTGATAGCGTTGAGGCACTCGCTGTACAATGTAACACAAACTCGCAGTTGTTTAGCACCTTTTGCATCACGAGGACGTTCCAAAGCAATCTAATATTTGGGACACTTTTTTCCCTCCAGGTGACACAGGAGTGCCTGGTTCAATAGGACGGAAAGGTACTGTATTTAATTTACCCAAAAGGCTGGTGGAAGTCAATTTGCTAACAACTTTTAAGAGAGAAGCAAATAATTATTTGGAGAGGACAAGTTTGCAAGGCTATGGGGAGAGAGTGGGGGAGTGGGGTTGATCAGGGCTATGGGGAGAGAGCGGGGGAGTGGGGTTGATCAGGGCTATGGGGAGAGCGGGGGAGTGGGGTTGATCAGGGCTATGGGGAGAGAGCGGGGGGAGTGGGGTTGATCAGGGCTATGGGGAGAGAGCGGGGGAGTGGGGTTGATCAGGGCTATGGGGGAGAGCAGGGGAGTGGGGTTGATCAGGGCTATGGGGAGAGAGCGGGGGAGTGGGGTTGATCAGGGCTATGGGGAGAGGGGGGAGTGGGGTTGATCAGGGCTATGGGGAGAGAGCGGGGAGTGGGGTTGATCAGGGCTATGGGGAGAGAGCGGGGGAGTGGGGTTGATCAGGGCTATGGGGAGAGTGCGGGGGAGTGGGGTTGATCGGAGCTATGGGGAGAGCGCGGGGGAGTGGGGTTGATCGGAGCTATGGGGAGAGCGCGGGGGAGTGGGGTTGATTTGGAAGCTCTTTTCAAAGAGCAGCACAGACACGATGGGCCGAATGGCCTACTTCTGTGCTGTACAATTCTATGATTCTGTGATAGTCTATTACAACTCACAAAAACTATAGTGATTTGTGTTTATTATGTGCTTTTCCAGTCGCCTTTCAGTGCGCACTCCCTCCTTGTGTCTGAATTATCACCAATATATGGGGTGCATACAGTAAACCAGACCCTGCAGTGTATCCACACTGTTAAATGGCCACCACTGATAAACTTCCCGCACACTGCACATGTGCACAATACACAGGAAATAGCCGCGTGTATCACTTCTTGCATGCTGCGCATACACACCGACATCACTTCCTGTATGTTATGTGCAGGCAGTGTTGCTGGTGTCGTGTCCTGTGTGCTGTAGACGTCACAACAGAAGCCAGAAATGCACCGTGTTCCCAGCAAAGGGACCACGATAACTGCGCTGTAAAGGAATCTGCATTACACTGAACACGTGTCACAGGGCCCACAGTAATCGAGCAGTGCGTGTGGGGTTTGACTCTAAATAAAGCCGAGACTCTGTGTCGATAGCCTTCCTGTAGTTTTTGGAGTCCTGTAGCTCAGTGGTTACAGCGCTCGCCTCGCAAGAGAGACCCCTGGGTTCCATTCCCGGTCGGGGCAAAACCTTGGGCAAGTTTCCTTACTCCACACACCTTTGTTCACCAGCAGCAAGTAGGAACCCCGTTGTTAGTCGATTGACGGATTCGCTTTCCGGGGATAATAATCCTTAAAAAGAATTGTAATTTGGTCACTGAATCCACAACTATTTGTGGGACACTGCTCTGGGCAATTGGCTACTTCGTTTTGCTCACAAATATGCAGTCAATTCACTTGACGGTGTATCCTGTGAAGGGCTTTGAGGCGTCTCGAAGATGTGAAAAGGCACTGTGTCAAATGCAAGAATTATTATTATATAACTCTCTACTGTCTTTTTAATCAGGTGAGCAGGGAGAGACAGGATCCCGTGGGTTACAAGGTGAGTTAATCCTCAAGGGAATGCGAGAGGAAGTCGTGCTCAGTCATCATTTTACCCACAGTTAATGGTTACAGATCTGGAGAGGTTGGCTGGAGAGGTTGGCTGGGCAGGTTAGTTGGAGTGGTTAGTTGGAATGGTTGGCTGGAGAGGTTGGCTGGGCAGGTTAGTTGGAGTGGTTAGTTGGAATGGTTGGCTGGAGAGGTTGGCTGGAGAGGTTGGCTGGAGAGGTTAGTTGGAGTGGTTAGTTGGAATGGTTGGCTGGAGAGGTTAGTTGGAGAGGTTAGTTGGAGTGGTTAGTTGGAATGGTTGGCTGGAGAGGTTGGCTGGAGTGGTTAACTCTTGTGGATTTTTGGGTCGTGGAGTCCCTTTGCCACCCACAGTCCCTTCGCCCCACTCTCTCCTTTCGACTGCGCCTTCGGCCACCATCCTACCCCGACCTTCCCCACCCTCCACCCCTCCTGATCCCAGCTTGGGTCTGAATCCCTGACTGTCCAGCACCTTGGGACATCCTCCCGACATGACAGGCGCTGTGTAAATGTCATTTGTTGTTGGAATGGATGTTTACGGTGTGGAATCACAGGATTTGTATTTTGGACCTGGATTTTCCGGCTAATCCCAGATTCCGGATACTCAGGTCTGGGTAGCCGGGGGGGCTTTACTGCACTTCAACTGACAATGTAACTATTTAAGAAAAGGAAATATGAGCAGAATTTCAAGGCAAAATGGTTGAACCTTCGGAACATCGCCAGACTACGGCACTACCTCACCCCTCACGCGGCTGAAACTCTGGTCCACGCCTTTGTCACCTCAAGGCTGGACTATGGGAACTCTCTCCTCGCCGGCCTTCCCGGCCCTCCCTCCACACTGCAGGTCATTCAGAACTCTGCAGCTCGTGTACTGTCCCGCACCAGACACCGCGACCACATCACTCTCACCCTCGCCCTCATTCGCCTCCACTGGCTCCCCATCCCCCAGAGGATTGATTTCAAGATCCTCATCCTCACCTACAAGGCCATTCACGGTCTCGCTCCCTCCTACCTCTCTGACCTACTATCCCCCTACCTACCTGCCCGTACCCTCCGTTCCTCTGGCTCCAGTCTGCTCCACGTCCCCCGCCCCAACCGCCCTACCATCGGTGGCCTTCAGCCTCTCAGCCTCGAAGCTCTGGAACTCCATCCCCCAGTGCCTTCGCCGCTTCCTCGCTTTCCTCCTTCAGGGCCGGTCTCAAGACCTTTCTCTTCGACCGTACCTTCAGCTCCCCTCTCGACTCTCTTCCCCCTCCTCACTCCCTCCCTCCCTCCCTCCCCTCACCCTGACCATTTCCCCCCTCCTCGGGTCCCGACCCAACTGTACAGCGCCTTGGGACGTCCTCACAACGTGAAGGGCGCTCTATAAATGAAATCTTGTTGTTGTTGTTGAACAAATTTCTGGACACACATAAAAGTAGTGCAGATGGTTAGTGTTTGTGCTGTTTGCAGAAAGGATATTTCAATAGCAAAAGATGGCAAAAGACCATACTCTGCCATAGGAAAGATATAATCCTGTAGTTTTCTTGTACATTTCAGTAGAGAATTCTATAACATTTGTTATTTAGTCATTCTGAAGTTTTTAAGTCACAAAAAGTGCTTGAAATCTATGCTCTAGAAAACCTGCTTTTGCTTGTGAGAGATTTTTGGAGGGAGGAACACTGAACCAGGATACAATATACACCTCTAAAAATGTAGTCCTTGTAGCTCAGTGGTTAGAGCGCTCGCCTCACAAGCAAGAGGATCCGGGTTGGATTCCCGGTCAGGGAGAAACCTTAGGTAAGTTTGCTTACTCCACACAGCGATGTTTACTCAGCAGTAAGTAGGATTGGCTGCTGCTTTCACCCACAAAATATACAGTTACTACACTTTACAGTATATTCTGAGAAGTGCTTTGAGACATCTCAAAGACTTGATAAGGTGCTATATCAAATGCAAAGATTATTATTATTATGTACACACACAACTATAGTAGGGAGCAAGCGGTTGGCATCAAGAGCAGAAACCCCAGCTCATCTCTCTCTCCCTAACCCAAAAGAACTGGGGAAAAGGCCATTGTCTCCCTGATTGATGCGCTAACTGAGGCTACAGCTTGGCACAGAGCACCAATGTGATGGTGTTACTTAGCTGCTGAGTGACTGCCCAGTCACTGGAGGCAGAGCCACTAGTTGCCTGACTTTTCCCCATTATTGCAGGGGAAGTTGGGCCACGTGGTTTACAAGGAATGGCAGGAGAACCTGGACACAAAGGATCAGCAGGTAGGAAATCCATCAGTCAAACTGTGCAACCCAACACAGGTCTGGTGGGAGAGAGCAGGAACCTCAGGGCCTGTTTATTCCCAGACAGACTGCCGGATGGCAGGTCCTCAGCAATATTGAATGCTGGTGTGCGGGGCTGGTGTGCTCAGTGTCTGCACCACTCACCTGCTCCACAACACTCAATCCACAATAATCAATCCACAACACTCAATCCTATGCCCGTGGCCGTGGCTTTGGTCGTGCCTGTGGCTGTGAGTGCCTGTGGCCGTGGCTGTGCCCGTGGCATTGGTCGTGCCTGTGGCTGTGGCCGTGGCTGTGGCTGTGCCTGTGGCCGTACTCGTGGCTATGAGTGGCTGTGGCTGTGAGTGCCTGTGGTTGTGGCTGTGAGTGCCTGTGGCCGTGGCTGTGGCTGTGAGTGCCTGTGGCTGTGCCTGTGGCCGTGCCTGTGGCTGTGAGTGGCTGTGGCTGTGAGTGCCTGTGGCCGTGGCTGTGGCCGTGGCCGTGCCTGTGGCTGTGGCTGTGCCTGTGCCTGTGGCCGTGGCCGTACCTGTGGCTGTGAGTGGCTGTGGCTGTGAGTGCCTGTGGCTGTGGCTGTGAGTGCCTGTGGCCGTGGCTGTGGCCGTGGCCGTGCCTGTGGCCGTGAGTGCCTGTGGCTGTGGCCGTGAGTGCCTGTGGCCGTGGCCGTGAGTGCCTGTGGCCGTGGCCGTGGCTGTGGCCGTGAGTGTCTGTGGCCGTGGCTGTGAGTGCCTGTGGCTGTGCCTGTGGCCGTGAGTGCCTGTGGCTGTGCCTTTGGCCGTGAGTGCCTGTGGCTGTGCCTGTGGCTGTGAGTGCCTGTGGCCGTGGCTGTGAGTGCCTGTGGCCGTGGCTGTGAGTGCCTGTGGCCGTGGCTGTGAGTGCCTGTGGCCGTGGCTGTGGCTGTGAGTGCCTGTGGCCGTGGCTGTGGCCGTGAGTGCCTGTGGCTGTGCCTGTGGCTGTGAGTGCCTGTGGCCGTGGCTGTCTGTGGCTGTGCCTGTGCCCATGTGTGGCTGTGACAATCTGACGGTTTTCTCCCTTCTCAGGGCCCCGAGGCGCAGATGGGGACCAGGGTCCCAGAGGTACGTTTACATCCAGGGAATATGGTTTTTGTGCCGCTCACCCAAAGCCCCCACCCCACCCCCACCCCAGCGCTGACTGTCCTCATTCTCCCCCTCGCGCGCTGACTGTCTGATGCTCACTCCCTCTGGTAACCTCTGCTCTCTCTCTCTCTCTCTCTCTGTCTCCAGGTGAACCCGGTGTTGCTGGCTTACCTGGAGCCCGAGGCCCACAGGGACCCCTGGGGGACCCTGGAGCCACAGGTCAGTGTTTACGTCCACTTCCCCTCCTGCACTGCCCCTCCCACTCTCCCCCTGCCCGGTGAGCCCCTCTTCTTGTAAAAGGTGACGTTTTCTCCAAACGCAAGTTGTTTACTTATTTGGCTTTTTTGCAGGACCTCAAGGCCTCCCAGGACAGCCAGGTACGTTACTCCCCGACCTGTGAACCCTGTGGGAACCCATCACCATGTTGAAGAGTCTCTAAACTCCAATTCCATGCTCCCACCTACACATAATAATAATAATAATCCTTGCATTTGATATAGTGCTTTTCACATCTTCTAGATGTCTCATGGAAATCCCAGAGATAATTATCAGAATGGAATGCGAGTATGTAAGAGAGAGCAAGAGAATGAGAGCACATGAGAGAGAGAGAGAATCAGAGCATGTGTGAGAGCGAGGGAGAGAGTGTGAGAAACAGAGCAAGTGTGTATGAGAGAGACATACCTCTCTCCCTGGAGAGAGTATTCGGCGAAGAGCCAAGGCTTGGGAGGGAGCCCAGAGTGTGCACTGGGGTAACTCCTGGAGTCTTACCAGCTAAACCCGCACACATAGCTTGGCCATTGATATCATTGTCTGGCCAGCTTTCCCGCTGGCCGGTGAGGACCACCCTATCCGTTAGTTAGGGCTTTGGCTGCAGGGTTACCAGGAGCTGAGGGGGAGGATTCCCTGTCCCCAGTGACTGGTCGGCCCTTCCAGGTCCTGCTGATGAGCCGGGCCGGGCTGTGTTGCCATCAGCAGTGAGTGCTCTGGGATACTGTGGCCCCTCCTGCCTGACCCCCACTAAACAATGTGAGATACCATTCGGACACGGACATTTCCGTACACGTGGGGAACTCTGTCTGTTTTGAAGATTTAAGTGTGGTGAATGATTTCTGAGCATCAGACACTGACACCCGGTGATCAAAAATCTCAGGGTTGATCAGACTCGCCTTGTCCTAGTCAGACACCAGCTGTTACCCCAACACACACACTCAGGTCCCGCAAGCCTTGTGTCCTAAAATGTTTGACAGACTAAGCGTGACACAGATTGCAAATACATTCACATCTGTGACCTGACATGGGACAAAATAGATTTTTAAACTAAACTGACAAAGTACACAGTAACTACACTTTATAGTGAAGCGCTTTGAGACGTCTCAAAGATATGATAAGGCGCTGTGTCAAATGCCAGGGTTGTTGTTGTTATATCGTCATTGCTGGAGCTGGGTCTGCTCTCACCAGTCACAGAGCAGGGCAGAGCCGTGTCATTACCTCCCAGGCTGTGTGGCCGAGGTTCTGCTCTCTCTCTGACTGTCACATTCACTCATTCCCTTCAATCACAGCCAAACCTGTAATGGTTCCAATCTTAATGTTTCCTCACCAGGCACAGCGGGAGAGAACGGCAACCCAGGACCAAGAGGTGTGTCTTACTGTAATCTATCACCCCTCACGCCCTGCCACGTGTCATCCCACCCGTCATCTCCCCCATCACCCCCCCGGTCACCTTGCCCCCTGCCCCCCGTCACCGCCCCGTCACCCACTCTCCTGTCACCCACTCTCCCCCTGTGACCAACCCCACTCCCTCCTGTGTCGCTGTGTGTTGTGTGTGTGCTGTGAGCTGCTCTGACGGCTCGGGTCTGTGTTACAGGTGAAGCAGGCAAGTCTATCGTAGCTGGAGGTGAGTGTGTCAGTTACCTCAGCCCAGGAGAGATTCCCAACCTCACTGGGTGGGCTTTGGGGGGAGGGGGGCACGGGCAGTGCCGTCCCCCAGTGATTGCAAACTGCAAACAGTCGACTGTCTGTCTCTCTGTGTCTGTATGTCTGTCTGTGTCAGCGCCTTGGGATGTCCTCCCATCATGAAAGGCGCTCTATCAATGTAATTTTGTTGTTGTCTGTCTGTCTGTCTGTGTCTGTCTGTCTTTCTGCCTGTTCGGGTGGATGTTAAAGATGCTATGACTCTATTGGAAAAGAGAAGGGAGTTTCTCTCTGTCCCAGTGTCCTGTCAGACAGTGATGATGAAACTGATCCTCACCTGTTTGGCTGCTGGTGAGACGCGAGACACCTGGGGGTACACTTGCCGCAGAGTTTGCCAACAAACATAGTCCCTGTGTTTACAGGAATGAGTGTAAAGACCATTGAGATGTTCAGACCTGACTGTCGTGAGGATTGTTACTGTTGCTCTTTTATATTAATTCCGTTGTGTTTGTTTCCAGCCTCCGTCTCAACTGCATACGTCCAGGGCCCCCCCGGGCCCCCCGGCCCCCCAGGAAGATCAGGTAAATGGCCTGCAGTCAGATATAATGTGACCAATGCTCCTCTTTGAACAAGTGGGGGTGAGGGGGGCGAGGGGTTTGAAGAGGGTGGGGGGTTTGAAGAGGGTGGGGGTGGAACATGTCTCCTTGGGACCCAGCTAGTTTTAGTGTGTTATGCTTATTGCCAGAACCTGTGCCGGTCTCTAGTCCGGTTGCTGAGCCGGGAGGGGCCGCAGTGTCCCAGGGCACTCACTGCTGATGGCAGCACAGCCCGGCCCGGCCCATCAGCAGGACCTGGTAGGGGCGACCGGTCACTGGGGGCCGGGAATCCTCCCCCTCAGCCCCTGGTAACCCCACAGCCAAAGCCCTAACAGGGAGGGTGGTCCTCGCTGGACAAGCAGCGGGAAAGCTGCCGGACAGCGCTCGCTCTCTCAATGGCCAACCTGCCCCAAATACTTTTGGAATTAGGTAAGCAGGAAGCTACCCTCCAGCGAGAGAGCGAGAGAGAGAGTGTCTGACTGTTCCATACACAGGGAAATGGTGCTTATGTAGGTGCAATACACACATGTGGAACTGTGTGTGTGTTTGGATGATCTAAATCACAGGACAGATTTCTGCAGATGGCAAACACCAGGAATCAAGTAATAATTTAGGTTCAATCTGATTGGCTCTCTGTAGGTGACAGTGTGGTTGGACCACAAGGTCTCCCCGGCCCAATGGGTCCCAAAGGTGAGTGAGGCTGTGTGTGTGTGTGAGGGTGTGTGTGAGGCTCTCTGTGTGTGTGAGGGTGTGTGTGTTAGGCTGTGTGGGAGTGTGTGATGGTGGGTGTGTGTAAGGCTGTTTGAGGGGGTGTGAGGGGGTGTGTGAGGCTCTGTGTGTGTGTGTGACGGTGTGTGTGTGTAAGGCTCTGTGAGGGTGTGTGAGGGTGTGTGTGAGGCTCTGTGTGTGTGTGTAAGGGTGTGTGTGAGGGTGTGTGAGGCTCTGTGTGTGTGTGTGACGGTGTGTGTGTGTAAGGCTCTGTGAGGGTGTGTGAGGGTGTGTGTGAGGCTCTCTGTGTGTGTGTAAGGGTGTGTGTGAGGGTGTGTGAGGGTGTGGTGAGGGTGTGTGTGAGGCTCTCTGTGTGTGTGACGGTGTGTGTGTGTAAGGCTGTGTGAGGGTGTGTGAGGGTGTGTGTGAGGGTGTGTGTGTTAGGCTGTGTGGGAGTGTGTGTGACGGTGGGTGTGTGTAAGGCTGTGTGAGGGTGTGAGGGTGTGTGTGAGGCTCTGTGTGTGTGTGTGACGGTGGGTGTGTGTAAGGCTGTGAGGGTGTGGTGAGGGTGTGTGTGAGGCTCTGTGTGTGTGTGTGTGACGGTGGGTGTGTGTAAGGCTGTGTGAGGGTGTGTGTGTTAGGCTGTGTGGGAGTGTGTGTGACGGTGGGTGTGTGTAAGGCTGTGTGAGGGTGTGTGTGAGGCTCTGTGTGTGTGTGTGACCGTGGGTGTGTGTAAGGCTGTGTGAGGGTGTGGTGAGGGTGTGTGTGAGGCTCTGTGTGTGTGTGTGACGGTGGGTGTGTGTAAGGCTGTGTGAGGGTGTGTGAGGGTGTGTGTGAGGCTCTGTGTGTGTGTGTGACGGTGGGTGTGTGTAAGGCTGTGTGAGGGTGTGTGAGGGTGTGTGTGAGGCTCTGTGTGTGTGTGTGACGGTGGGTGTGTGTAAGGCTGTGTGAGGGTGTGTGAGGGTGTGAGGGTGTGTGTGAGGCTCTGTGTGTGTGTGTGACGGTGGGTGTGTGTAAGGCTGTGTGAGGGTGTGGTGAGGGTCTACCCGCCACCTTTGAATCTCTCAGCTGGACTGACTATAACATTGTCCCCTCTCCCCATGATGACTCTCACCAGTGGCTAACCAGGCCTCGCTGACCCCACCCCCACCCCCGCCGCTTGCTTTCAGTCTCGGCGTGTGCGTTATGGCTGCCGCCACCGACCCGCGATGCTTCCCCACAATGCCCCCACCCCTGTCCTATACCCTCACTTACTCCCGCTCGGTCCTCTTCTCGCACCACCCTCCCCGACTCCTCTCCCTGCTCAACCATCCCAGTGCCTCCCTCTGCTCCAGCCACGAATCCTCCGTCTGGCCCACCGTGGGAGTCAGCGCTGGGTGTCCTATTCCCTGCTCTCACTGCAAGGCTCAGCGGTCGCCGTCCACAGGAGCCAACCTCTCCTCCCTGATCCACATCCCCACCCTCCCTGTCAGTTCTCCCCCCTTGCCCCCCACTTTCTACCACCAACCGTCCCCTCCACAACTGCGAGGCGATGCTGGACTTCCTCAAATCCAAAGTCGAGGGAATCCGCTCAGCTGCCTCTGCCACTGCAACTGCTACCTCCTCCCCATCTCCTCCTCCCACCCCACCCCCTACCCACCCCTCCTTCCACACCTTTGAACCTGTCTCCCCCTCCTCTCTCATCACCACCATAACCCGTATGAAACCCATCACCTGCTCCCTCGACCCCATCCCTCACCCCCTCCTTACCTCCCAGCTCCACCTCCTTGTCCCTCTACTCACTGACATCATTTACCTCTCGCTGTCCTCTGGTACTGTTCCCACCCCATTAAAAACTGCCATCATCACTCCTATCCTTAAAAAACTCTCCCTGGACCCATCTCTACTCCCTAAGTACCGCCCCATCTCCAACCTCCACTTCCTCTCCAAGGTCCTGGAACAAGTTTTTGCTTCTCAGCTTCGCTCCTTCCACTCCCGCCTCTCCCCTCTCGAACTCCTCCAATCGGGTTTCCGTGCCGCCCACAGCACAGAAACTGGTCAAAGTGACAAATGATATTCTGTCCATCTGCGACCAGGGCTCCCTCTGCCTCCTCGTCCTCCTTGACCTCTCTGCTGCTTTCGAAACCGTCGACCACTCTATCCTCACCCACCGCCTCTCCTCTCACCTCAGCCTTCATGGCTCTGTCCTTGACTGGTTCAGTTCCACCTCTCGCACCGCCTGCACTTCCTCTCCTCTCCTCTGGCCTCCGCACTGTCTCAGGGCTCTGTCCTTGGTCGCTCCTTCACGTCCCCCACCTCACTCCCCCCACTATTGGGGGTGGGCCTTCCGTCACTCTGCACCCACCCTCTGGAACTCTAGCCCCAGTCCCTCCGCCTCACCCCTCCCTCGCCACCTTCAAGCCTCATCTCAAGACCTGCCGCCCCGACCATGCTTTTGATCCCCCTGCCCTCCACCCTCCCCCCCCCCCCGACCCCCAGCTCGTGTCCGAAACTCTTTCTGTCCAACGCCTTGAGACGTCCTCCTGATGTGAAAGGTGTTTTACACATGTCATTTTGTTTTTGTTGGTGTGTGAGGCTGTGTGTGTGTGTGTGTATGAGGCTGTGTGTGTGTGAGGCTGTGTGTGTGTGAGGGTGTGTGTGAGGGTGGCACGGTGACGGTGACGCACAGGCTGGTGGGTGTTGGCAGGAGAGTTAATGATGTGCAGTGGCTGCTATTACAGTTTAAACCTTGTTATAGGTTCATCTGTGGAGGGTCCCCGTGGACCACCAGGAGTTCCCGGCCCCGTCGGAGCCCCTGGTGAGTGGCTGTGCGTTGGGGGTGGGGGTGGTCAGGAGGGTGGGGGTCAGCACGGCACTGACTGATTTTCGTTCCTGTGTGACTGACAGGTGAAGGCAGACCCGGCCCCCCAGGCCCCCCCGGGCTGTTGGAAGACAGTGTGTCGTCCAGAAACTCCGGTACAGTCACACACACACACACACTGCACACTCCGGTACAGTCACACACACACACTGCACACTCCAGTAATAATAATAATAATCCTGGCATTTGATATAGCGCTTTTCACGTCGGGAGGACGTCCCAAAGCGCTTCACAGAACACACTGTAAAGTGAATTGACTGTATATTTGTGGGCGAACGCGGCAGCCAATTGCGCACAGCAATGTCCCACAAACAGTCGTGGATTGAAAATGACCAATTTATTATTGTTTTGGTTTTGGAGGATTATTATTAGGCTCTGTGTGGAGTAAGGAAACTTGCCCAAGGTTTCACCCTCTGCCTGGAATTGAACTCAGGTCTCTCACTTGCAAAGCGAGTGCTCTAACCACTGAGCTGCAGGACTCCACACAGTCACACACAGACCTCACACAAACACACACATAGACCCCACACACACACACACACTCCGGTACAGTCACACACACTCCGGTACAGTCACACACACACACACACACTGCACACTCCGGTACAGTCACACACACACACACACACTGCACACTCCGGTACAGTCACACACACACTGCACACTCCGGTACAGTCACACACAGTCACAAACACACACTCACACACACACTCTCACACACCCATATGCTCATATGGACAGATGTCCGTCTGACTGTGTTTCACTTCTCTCTGTGTGATGTATTCCAGGACCTCTGTTTGCAGGACCCCCCGGACCCCCCGGACCCCCCGGCCCACAAGGTAAGGCTGGCCTCCCCTCCTCTTCTCTCCTCCTCCCCTCCTCTCTCCCCTCCTCCCCCTCCCCTCCTGACCTCCCCTCTCCCTTCCTCTCCTCTCCCCTCCCCTCTCCCTTCCCCTCCTGTCCTCTCCCCTCCGCTCCTGTCCTTCCCTCCTCCTCTTCCCTCGCTCTCAGGGTTATTATTATCTGTTTACTTTACAGGTCGGCAAGGCTACACAGGTCTGTTACCTCTTCATAGAGGGGTGGAGAGTGGGTGGGGGCAAGAGTGGGTGGGGGGTAGCGGGTGGGGCAGTGAGTGTGTGTGGATGGGAGAGGGGGAGTGTGTGTGGATGGGAGAGGGGCAGTGTGTGTGTGTGGATGGGAGAGAGGGAGTGTGTGTGGATGGGAGAGGGGCAGTGTGTGTGGATGGGAGAGAGGGAGTGTGTGTGGATGGGAGAGGGGCAGTGAGTGTGTGTGGATGGGAGAGGGGCAGTGAGTGTGTGTGGATGGGAGAGGGCAGTGAGTGTGTGTGGATGGGAGAGAGGGAGTGTGTGTGGATGGGAGAGGGCAGTGAGTGTGTGTGGATGGAGAGGGGCAGTGAGTGTGTGTGGATGGGAGAGGGGCAGTGAGTGTGTGTGGATGGGAGAGAGGGAGTGTGTGTGGATGGGAGAGGGGCAGTGAGTGTGTGTGGATGGAGAGGGGCAGTGAGTGTGTGTGGATGGAGAGGGGCAGTGAGTGTGTGTGGATGGAGAGGGGCAGTGAGTGTGTGTGGATGGGAGAGGGGCAGTGAGTGTGTGTGGATGGGAGAGGGGCAGTGAGTGTGTGTGGATGGGAGAGGGGCAGTGAGTGTGGATGGGAGAGGGGCAGTGAGTGTGGATGGGAGAGGGGCAGTGAGTGTGGATGGGAGAGGGGCAGTGAGTGTGGATGGGAGAGGGGCAGTGAGTGTGTGTGGATGGGAGAGGGGCAGTGAGTGTGGATGGGAGGGGTACAGAGGTTGGGGTGTAACGCAGTGCCTTTTCTCAGGTGAACCAGGACAGCCCGGGTTACCTGGTGTGTCAGGCCAAGCAGGTGAGTGTGAAGACGACAACATAAACAATTTGCATGTATGTAACGTGTTGCGTCCCAGTCTCGCGGTCTGTGGGGGTTACAGTGACGGCCCCTCAGGGCTATGACATGTATGATCTGTTCTGTTGACAGCTGGAGGCACGTATGTCCGTGGCCCCCCAGGACGCCCAGGACCACAAGGACCCAAAGGTGATCGAGGCCTGATGTCACTGACACGCTGCTCACACGCTGCTCACACGCTGCTCACACGCTGCTCACACACTGCTCACACGCTGCTCACACACTGCTCACACACTGCTCACACGCTCCTCACACGCTCCTCACACGCTCCTCACACACTCCTCACACACTCCTCACACGCCGCTCACACGCCGCTCACACGCCGCTCACACGCTGCTCACACACTCCTCACACACTGCTCACACACTGCTCACACACCCCTCACACGTTGCTCACACTGCGCACACACTCCTTGCACAGTCCTTACACACTGCTCACACACTCCCTGCACACTCCTTACAGTCCTTACACACTGCTCACACACTCCTTACACACCCCTCACACGTTGCTCACACTGCGCACACACTCCTTACACAGTCCTTACACACTGCTCACACAATCCTTATACAGTCCTTACACCTGATTACGCAACAACAACCTGCATTTATACAGCGCTGTCCGGGGGGGCAGCACACACTCTCTGACTCGCGTGCACACACTGACTTGCACACGCTGAGGGTTTCACTTCTCCCTGTGTTTTCCAGGTGATCGCGGTGATGTGGGTATTCCCGGAGCTCCTGGTATTCCCGGACATTCCACACGAGGTGAGAATGGGAACACGTCAAACCCCAGGCCCTGAGACCCCCCCGACCTCCCCACCCCCTGGTGACTTCCGTGGCATCAAACCCACCCCCCCCAACCCGCCCCAGTCCAGGCACAGCTGAGTGGCTAATCTCTCTGGGTTAGGGGGGGAGAAACTAATTGTCTCCCCCTGACCCCCCCCAGCACTGACACTAACCTCCCCCCACCCCCCCCAGCACTGACACTAACCTCCCCCCACCCCCCCCAGCACTGACACTAACCACCCCCCCACAGCACTGACACTAACCACCCCCCCACAGCACTGACACTAACCTCCCCCCCCCCACAGCACTGACACTAACCTCCCCCCCCCCACAGCACTGACACTAACCTCCCCCCCCCCCACAGCACTGATACTAACCTCCCCCCCCCCACAGCACTGACACTAACCTACCCCCCCCACAGCACTGACACTAACCTCCCCCCCCCCCACAGCACTGACACTAACCTCCCCCCCCCCCCACAGCACTGACGCTAACCTATCCCCTCCCCCCACAGCACTGATACTAACCTCCCCCCCCCCCCCCACAGCACTGACACTAACCTACCCCCCCCACAGCATTGACGCTAACCTCCCTCCCCCCCCCCCCCGCGCTAACAGTAATGCTGCGTCTCCCCACAGTTTCTGCGACTGGAGGTGGTGGATCACAGGGCCCCCGCGGTGAGCAGGGTAAGACCCCCCCGCACACCCGGCCCCCCGCACACCCGGCCCCCCGCACACCCGGCCCCCCGCACACCCGGCCCCCCGCACACCCGGCCCCCCGCACACCCGGCCCCCCCGCACACCCGGCCCCCCGCACACCCGGCCTCCCCGCACACCCGGCCCCCCCCCGCACACCCGGCCCCCCCGCACACCCGACCCCCCCCGCACACCCGACCCCCCCGCACACCCGGCCCCCCGCACACCCGGCCCCCCCGCACACCCGGCCCCCCCGCACACCCGGCCCCCCCGCACACCCGGCCCCCCCGCACACCCGGCCCCCCCGCACACCCGGCCCCCCCGCACACCCGGCCCCCCCGCACACCCGGCCCCCCCGCACACCCGGCCCCCCCGCACACCCGACCCACCCCCGCACAGCCGACCCACCCCCCGCACACCCGACCCACCCCCCGCACACCCGACCCCCCCCGCACACCCGACCCCCCCCGCACACCCGACCCCCCCGCACACCCGGCCCCCCCGCACACCCGGCCCCCCCCGCACACCCGACCCCCCCCGCACACCCGACCCCCCCCGCACACCCGTCCCCCCCGCACACCCGACCCCCCGCACAGCCGACCCCCCCGCACAGCCGAACCACCCCCCGCACACCCGAACCCCGTGCCCCCCCCCCCCCCCCCCGCACACACCCGACCCTCCCCCCCACACATCTGGCCCCCACACCCGAGGACGCTCACACCCACACTTACTCCCTCAAACACACATTCACTACTGCACAGTTTAATACTCTCTCTCACACTCGCACTGATTTATACACTCTCTCACAATGATTCTCACACTGACTTACACAGTCACTGATCTCACTGTGACTTTTCTGCCCCAGGCCCCCCCGGCCCCCCCGGCCCCCCCGGGGTGTCAGTGTCCGGCTCCGGCTCAGTGACTGACATCAAGCGTGTGGTGATGGGCTACCTACAGAGTGAGTACTGCACACGAGCACCACCACACACCCATAGTGATCACCACCACCACACACCCATAGTGATCACCACCACCACATACCCATAGTGATCACCACCACCACACACCCATAGTGATTACCACCACCACCACACACCCATAGTGATCACCACCACCACACACCCATAGTGATCACCATCACTACTACTACTACTACAACAACTTTGATGATTATAGTGTCCCCCACACCGTACGGCATCTCAGAGCTTCACAGTAACGGATCCCGGGGCCGAGCCGGGGGGAGGGGGAGGGGGAGGAAGGTGACCAAAGGTGCGGTCGAAAAGAAAGGTCTTCAGCAGAGACCTGAAATGGGAAGGGAGGGAGCGAGGCGAAGGGAGTTCCAGAGCCTCGGGGCGCAGGGGCTGAAGGTACGGCCGCTGAGGGTGGAGCGGAGGCCTCGGGGGACGAGGAGGAGGCCAGACCCGGAGGAACGAAGGCAACGGGTACTGTGCTGAGGAGACAGGAGGTCCGAGAGGGGGTTGCAGAGGAGTGGAGGGACGACACACCCATAGTGTTCACTTAATCATAGCCAGTGTACCAGTGTATAAAAAGACAGACACAGCCGGTGTACAGAAGGATAGTCACTCGCTGTGTGGTACAGACTAGGAGTGAGCGCTGTACAGCAGGAGGAGTAGATAGGCTGTGAGACTCCCTCACTCTCACCACTTTGAGATAATCTGCATAAACAACATTAGCCACTTGTGTCCGGGCTGAGAGCAGAGAGCTGTCAGGCTGCCTGGTGTGTCCTTTGCTCATCCGTCACCTTCTTGTCTTGCAGGTGCCCGTGTCGGCCACGGTGCTCAGGGCCCCCCGGGACCTCCTGGGCCCCCAGGTTCCCTGTCCAGCTCCGATCTCTCACTGTATCTACAGAGTAAGTATCAGAGCACAGTCATCATCTACTCCCTACCCAGTCCCCTGACCTGGGAGTGTGGACGCACAGTGTAGAGGAGCTTTACTGTGTCTCTAACCCTGACCTGGGAGTGTGGACGCACAGTGTAGAGGAGCTTTACTGTGTCTCTAACCCTGACCTGGGAGTGTGGACGCACAGTGTAGAGGAGCTTTACTGTGTCTCTAACCCTGACCTGGGAGTGTGGACGCACAGTGTAGAGGAGCTTTACTGTGTCTCTAACCCTGACCTGGGAGTGTGGACACACAGTGTAGAGGGCTGAGCTCCTGTGTTAGTGCTGTTGTCTGTGCTGCAGGTGAAGACGTTAGACGATATCTGCGAGGTGCTGTGGGCCCCCCCGGCCCCCCGGGGCCCAGCGGAGTGGGTGTGGTACGTGCTGAGCTCGAGGCGTACGTCACAGACTATGTCCGAAGTACGTGTCTCCCTATTGTGATCTCTCTCTGGTGCGTTTGGGGTTTGAGTGTTGGGTGTGTGTGGTTACTTGTGAGTGTGTTGATGTGATTGTGTATATGTATTGAGGTGTGTATGTTGGTGTGTGTATGTGAGTGTCGGTGTGTGTGTGTCGGAGTGTATGTGTGACGGGGTGTGTGTGTGAGAGTGGGTGTGTGCGAGTGTGAGAGAGTGGGTATGTGTGAGTGAGAGAGTGTGTTGAGTGTGTGTGAATGTGAGAGAGTGTGTGTGAGTGTGAGAGAGAGTGTGTGAGTGTGGGTGAGTATGAGAGTGTGAGTGTGAGAGTGTGGGTGAGTGTGAGAGAGTGTGAGTGAATGTGAGAGTGACAGTGTGATGCTCCACACTGCTCTAACTAGCTGCTGATGGCTCTTACAGGTGTGGGTACTGGTGGGGGCCGCCCTGGACCTCCTGGGCCCCCTGGTCCCCCCGGTTTTCCAGGATCGGCATCTTTGGAAGGGGATCTGAGAGCATTGCTGCAGGGTAAGTGCCGACACACACAGGGAGAGCGTGGGAACCACAGGGAGAGCGTGGGAACCACAGGGAGAGGGTGGGAACCACAGGGAGAGGGTGAGAGCCACAGGGAGAGGGTGAGAGCCACAGGGAGAGGGTGAGAGCCACAGGGAGAGGGTGAGAGCCACAGGGAGAGGGTGAGAGCCACAGGGAGAGGGTGAGAGCCACAGGGAGAGGGTGAGAGCCACAGGGAGAGGGTGGGAACCACAGGGAGAGGGTGAGAGCCACAGGGAGAGGGTGAGAGCCACAGGGAGAGGGTGAGAGCCACAGGGAGAGGGTGAGAGCCACAGGGAGAGGGTGAGGGCCACAGGGAGAGGGTGAGGGCCACAGGGAGAGGGTGAGGGCCACAGACACAGGGAGAGGGCGAGAGCCACAGGGAAGAGGGCGAGAGCCACAGGGAAGAGGGCGAGAGCCACAGGGAAGAGGGCGAGAGCCACAGGGAAGAGGGCGAGAGCCACAGGGAAGAGGGCGAGAGCCACAGGGAAGAGGGGGAGAGCCACAGGGAAGAGGGGGAGAGCCACAGGGAAGAGGGGGAGAGCCACAGGGAAGAGGGGGAGAGCCACAGGGAAGAGGGGGAGAGCCACAGGGAAGAGGGGGAAAGCCACAGGGAAGAGGGGAGAGCCACAGGGAAGAGGGTGAGAGCCACAGGGAGAGGGGGAGAGTTGCCACTGTGGGTGGCTCTGTTCACTGACCTCAGCGTCTCTTTGCCTCTCCCAGACGCCAGTGTTCGCAGGTACCTGACCGGCCCCCCTGGGCCCCCCGGTCCCCAGACATCAGCCAGCAGCGTGGACTACAGTGAGCTCGCAGCCCACGTCCAAGACTACATGAGATGTGAGTGTCCGTCTGTGTTCCTGTCTGCTCGCCCCAGTGCAGCCCCCCCCCCTCACTCCATTGCCACTCGCCCCAGTGCAGCCCCCCCCCCCCACTCCATTACCACTCGCCCCAGTGCAGCCCCCCCTCCCCTCACTCCATTGCCACTCGCTCCAGTGCAGCTCAGTGCCGTGTGAGCCCCATCAGTGGAAAACTGGTCAGCGCGACGGGAGAGGAGAGAGGGGCCGGTGTGCGTGTCAGGCCCGTTTGTGTGTGTGTGTGTGTGTGAGGCCTGGATGAGAGTTGACTTTCTCCAGTTCAATGTTGACAAGACCGAGGCCATCCTACTTGGCTCCCGCCAGTGCTTCCTGAACGCTGGTGCTGACAGCATCACTGCACAGGGATACACACTCCACCTCACTGGGCCTTGGTGTCTTGTCAACTCTCAACGTTCATTAAACTCCACATCCGTGCCATGACCTGCTCTGCCTTCCCCCACGTCTGCAGCATCGTCCATCTCTGCCACTGCCTCTGCCCTCAGGCCACCGAGACCCTCATTCACACATTGATCTTATCCAGGCTTAACTATGCCAACTCCCTGCTTCTCGGCCTCCCCAACTCTTCCCTCAACAAGCTGCAGATCATCCAGAATTCTGCAGCTCGTGTCCTCTTCTGCACCAGGCTCCATGACCCCATCTCCCCCACCCTCGCCCTGCTCTACTGGCTCCCCATTCCCCAGAGGATACAGTTAAGAATCGTTACCTTCAAGGCCCTCCACGGCCTCATTCCTTCCTACCTCTGTGACCTGCTAACCCCTTATCAACCTGTCCGCTCCCTCCGCTTAGTAGGCTCCGGCCTGCGCCTCGTCCCCCTCCCGGCCAGCCCCACCATCGGCGGTCGGGCCTTCAGCCTTTCTGCCCCCACCTTCTGGATCTCCATTCCAGAGGCCCTCTGCCTTGACCCCACCCTTGCCTCCATCTTCACGCCTTCTCTGGCCGTGTCTTCAATCATCTTCCCACTCCCACCCCTTGGCCCCCACCCCTAGCTCAGGTGCAAACCCTCAACCATCCAGCATCTTGGAAAGGTCTCTATAAATGCACCTTGTTGTTGTTGTTGTTGTTTTTGTTGACTCCCTGCACCGACTGGCTCTAACCTCTGGCTTCTCTCCTCTGTCCCCAGCCTCAGGGATGCTTCAGGGTGTGCGGGGCCCCCCCGGCCCCCCAGGGCCATCCGGCTCCATCTCAGACAATCAGCTCATCTCACGTCTGCAGAGTAAGTGCTCGTCAGTAACTAATGCTCCCTCCGTAACCAGCCCCGGTGACTGGTCAGTAACTAATGCTCCCTCAGTAACCAGCCCCGGTGACTGGTCAGTAACTAATGCTCCCTCAGTAACCAGCCCCGGTGACTGGTCAGTAACTAATGCTCCCTCAGTAACCAGCCCCGGTGACTGGTCAGTAACTAATGCTCCCTCAGTAACCAGCCCCGGTGACTGGTCAGTAACTAATGCTCCCTCAGTAACCAGCCCCGGTGACTGGTCAGTAACTAATGCTCCCTCTAGGTAAAATAGACTGGAGAATAAGATTAAGAGGTAAAAATGTAGACCAACAGTGGTAAATATTTAAGGATGTAGTGCAAAATTCTCAGCGGTCGCATATTCCTTTGCGGAATAAGAGTACCACAGGGAAAGCAATTCATCCGTGGCTAACTAGAGCAGTTAGGGAAAGCATCAAATTAAAAGAAAAGGCTTATAAAACTGCCAAGAAAAGCAGCAAATCTGAAGATTGGGAGAATTTTAGAAACCAGCAAAAAAAACCTAAAAAACTCATGAAGAGCGAGAAAAAGGAGTATGAGGGTAAGCGAGCGACGAACATTAAGTCTGATTGTAAAAGTTTTTACAAGTATATTAAGAGGAATAGGCTGTGAGGGTAAATGTAGGTCCACTTCAGTCAGAGACGGGAGAAGTTGTAATGGGGGATAAGGACATGGCAGAGTCCCTAAATGGGTACTTTGCATCTGTCTTCACCCGAGAAGACACAACAAGTCTGCCAACAATAGAGATGCACCAAGGGATAAGGACAGGGAGCAACTTTCATTAGTAGAGAATTGGTGCGAGGGAAACTGTTAGCACTAAAAAGTGACAAATCCCCTGGTCCGGATGGCTTGCATCCCAGGGTTTTAAAAGAGGGAGCTTATGAGATAGTGGAGGCCTTATGTCTGATCTTCCAAAATTCCTTGGATTCTGGAACAGTCCCCATGGATTGGAAGATCGCAAATGTCACACCACTATTTAAAAAAGGTGGAAAGGAAAAGATGGGGAACTATAGGCCAGTTAGTCTCACATTGGTGATAGAAAAATTTTAGAATCATTGATTAAGGATGTGGTAGTGCAGTATTTAGGGCACAATATAATTAGGCCAAGTCAACACGGCTTTACAAAAGGGAAGTCATGTTTGACAAATCTCATAGAGTTTTTTGAGGATATTTCCAGTAAACTCGATAAGGGTGAATCAGTGGATGTGGTCTATTTGGACTTCCAGAAGGCATTCGATAAGGTGCCACATAAAAGGTTAGTCCAAAAGATAAGGGCCCATGGAATTGGGGGGAGCATATTAACGTGGATTGGGGAATGGTTAACGGGTAGGAAACAAAGAGTAGGGATAAACGGGTCCTTTTCAGATTGGCGGGATGTGACTAGTGGAGTGCCACAAGGATCAGTCCTTGGGCCTCAGCTATTTACCATCTACATCAACGATCTAGATGAGGACATCGAAGTTAATATATCTAAATTTGCGGATGACACAAAACTAGGAGGAAGTGTCAACACAGAGGACGACATTAAAAAAATGCAGCGAGACATAGATAGGTTAGGTGATTGGGCAGGTAGGTGGCAGATGAAGTATAATGTAGGGAAGTGCGAAGTCATCCACCTAGGTAGCAAAAACAGTAGAGCGGGTTATTTTTTAGAAGGGGAGAGATTGGAATGTGTTAGCGTCCAGAGGGACTTGGGTGTCCTTGTACACCAATCACAGAAAGTTAGTCTGCAGGTGCAGCAGCAATTAGGAAGGCGAACGGTATGTTAGCATTCATTATGAAAGGATTAGAGTATAAGAGTAGGGAAGTCTTGCTGCAACTGTATAGGGCCCTGGTGAGACCACACCTGGAATACTGTGTGCAGTTTTGGTCTCCTTATTTAAGGAAGGATGTACTTGCCTTGGAGGGGGTGCAGCGTAGATTTACTGGGTTAGTACCAGGGATGAAGGGGATGAGTTACGAGGATAGGCTGACCAATTTGGGCCTATATTCTCTATATAGAAACCTATAAGATCATCAAAGGGCAATGATAGAGTAGATAGTGGG